AAATCTGACGAAAGGGATTTAGGAGTAATTATTTCAGATGACTTTGACAAAGGCGTTTTAGGAGCGCCGAAACGTGCGTTAGGTCCTACTTTTTTTGTTTTTATTTCTTCACCACTTAGATGTGATCACAGGGTGGGGGTTATGGACTTCATAGCTATTTAGATTATGCCTTCATTAGCTGGTAGTTGCTCTAGATGGATAGCAGCAGACTAAGAGTGTAGAATCTTTTTTCTTTTACAGGATCAGCTAGGAGTATAACATACCATTAGTGGCAGCAGACAGCATTTTAGTTTTCTAACAGACAGCCTTGCTTTTACAGGCAATAGCTGTGCATATTGCAACCACTTGGTTGTTTTCAAGTAGAGGGGATACTTTGTTTCTGTTTCCCCTTTGAAGTTATTACTTCATTGATACTGTTTCAGTATCTAAGCTCCCAGGTGGTAACTTGACAGATACAGACATATTCTGCATTTTAGTCTACTTGACCACAAGGATAAGAGCTTATAGTTCTCCCTCTTCTTACTCCTAATTTCTGATTACATTTTAGAGGTCACTATAACCTTTTGGATTTAACCTGTCTATATCTAGGACAGCTTTTTATTTAAGGCTGCTCTGTAGAGACGTCTAGACTATAGGTTTCTATCTCCCCATTCCTACCAGTTCTATTTCCAGATTCATAGATTGAGTCCATCACTCCTTATGTATATACTTATTTTTCTAGTTGTTATGGTGTACTAAGTTTCATTTATATTTTCTTTTCTTTTTGGGATCATACTTTTGTAGTAGATACCCTCAATAAAGCTATTTTAAGGATATTATTTTAGATAGCATATCCCCTGCAGAACTTTCTTTCAAAGTGCTCCTGTTGCTTTTGTAGCCCGGGATCACACATTTTTGTAGCACAACTGTTTATATACAAGGGTTACCCCCTACTAAGTTCTGCACACACACTCTAGTTGGGATTTCAGCACTTAGGTGCTCTCCCTTCTTTCTCCATCTTTTGACTTAAAGATAGGCAGACAATGTAATAGAGCAGCAGGAAATGCTAGCAGAATGCTTGCTTGTATAGTGAGAGGTATTAGCAGTAGAAAGAGGGAAGTGCTCATGCCATTGTACAGAACACTGCTGAGACCTCACTTGGAGTATTGTACGCAGTACTGGAGAATGTATCTTCAGAAGGATGTTGATACTTTAGAAAGAGTTCAGCGAAGGGCTACTAAACTGGTTCATGGATTGCAGGATAAAACGTACCATGAAAGGTTAAATGATCTTAACATGTATAGCTTGGAGGAAAGACGAGACAGGGGGGACATGATAGAAACATTTAAATACATAAAGGGAATCAACACAGTAAAGGAGGAGACCATATTTAAACGAAAAAAAAAAACCTACCACAAAAAGAGGACATAGTCTTAAATTAGAGGTGCAAAGGTTTAAAAATAATATCCGGAAGTATTACTTTACTGAGAGGGTAGTAGATGCATGGAATAGCCTTCATGCTGAAGTGGTAGAGGTTAACATAGTGAGGGAGTTTAACCCCTTAAGGACACATGACATGTCTGACATGTCATGATTCCCTTTTATTCCAGAAGTTCGGTCCTTAAGGGGTTAAGCATGCGTGGGATAGGCATAAGGCTATCCTAGACTTAAGATAAAGCCAGGGACTAATTAAAATTATTTTTAAATATTGGGCAGACTAGATGGGTCGAAAGGGTCTTATCTGCCGTCACATTCTATGTTTCTATGTAAGCTCACCATGAGAATCTCCACACTGAAAATATAAAAGGAACATAAAAAGAAATTTATTATTGGACATATTCTTAAGAATATATGAACTCCCCATGATGTAGGGGATATTTAGAACTGAGTTTACATAATGACAAACATCATTGCAAAAATCAATACAATATAATATAACATGAAATATCTGAAATATTGAAATATATGAAATATTGTGACTAAGTGGCTACTAAAAAAGACTAAACATACCCCACTTTCAATACCTTGGGTTGTCTACTTTTTCAAATGGTATGCCATTATGGGGGTAATTCTCATTCCTGGGCTACCACACCATCTCAAAGATAACAATACTAATCTGGCAAATTTCAATTTGAAAATGTAATGTGCTATATTTGACCTTGTAACTTTCCAAAACACCATAAAACCTGTTAATGGGGGGTACTGTTGTACTCGTGAGACATCGCTGATTGCAAATATGTGCATTTTTTTTGCAGTAAAACCTAACAGTATTATGACATTCACAGCTAAAATGTCAGACAGAAATACAAATTAAAAAAAAATCTTATTTTCTCACTTTTTTTTAAAAAATTTTATTCATAATAAATTATGTTCCATATATGAATAGTTAATGATAAATTAAAGCCCTGTTTCTCCTGAACAAAATGATATATAATAAGTGTGGGTGCACTTAATGTGACAGCGGTGAATTACGATTAAACAGACATATAGCGCAAATTCCAGTTTTTATATACGTTTTGTTTTGATCAGAACGTGTACTATTGACTCCGTCCTGAAGGGGTTAAACTGAATAATTTTTTTTGCAATGTGGCAGGGTGCAACATCATAATGCTGCCATTATGTAACGCCCTTGCCATGCAGGGGTTGTCTGCAACAATCTCTAGTTAGGTGTTACTTGTCCAATTAGCATCAACATATTTCCCAGAGCATAACAATGCCTCCACCAGCCTGTCTTCTTCCCATAGTGCATCTTGCTGCCATCTCTTTCCCAGGTAAACAACTCACACATACCCAGTCATCAGCCTGATCTAAAAGAAAATGTGATTCATCGAACCAGGCAATCTTCTTCCATAGCTCCATGGTCCAGTTCTGATGTGCATTTCACAATTGAAGGCACTTTTAGCAGTGGAAAGAGATCATCACTCTCATAAATCTGTGGCTACGCAGGCCCATACACAGCAAACTGTGATGCACTGTGTATTATGACACCTTTCTATCATGTATAGTGCAAGATAGGAGATATAACACAAATGAAAAACACATTGTTTCTAAAAGTACTATTGTTTAATATATAATCTCCTCAAAAAATGCAGTAGCGTGAAAGTGTACAAGAACCAGAAATAATACAAATACAATTATTAATATTAATATTGTGCACTGTGGCAAAAGTTACATGAATAGAAAATATACTTCCTTTATAGAAAGGGCACATCCCCAAGATTCTACTCTGGTCTCAAAACATCGAATAATGTGCAAAACATAACACCAGTTTTGCAAATACAAATATAGTGCAACATATTTAATCATTCAACTTCCTCAGAAAAATTCATAAAATTAATGGGTACCTAATCTCCAGCTCTCCTTTTGTGCAATGGCCTTTGGACAGATGAGACCAAAGTGTAGATGTTTGGCCATAATGCACAACACCATGTTTGGTGAAAACCAAACACTTCATACCGATTTTCAAGCAAGGTGGTGGAGGGTTGATGATTTGGGCTGATTTTGCAGCCACAGGACCTCAACCTGATACTGTTGCGGGATATTAATATAGCTGCACATGAACAAATACCAACATACCTCAATGAACTGAAGCAAAGTTGTAAAGACATTCCTTCACAACAATGAGAGAGACAGATAGTCATACGAAAAAAGGTTACTTCAAGTTATTGCTGCTAAAGGTGGTTCTACATGCTATTGAATCATAAGGTGTACTTAGTTTTTCACACATGACTTCTCCATTTTGGTTTTATTTTTGTTAAATAAATCCTGACACTGTTTAAAACATCATGAAATGTTGTTCAGCTGAGGTTGCATTTACCTAAATTTAAGACCTGCTAAAAAACATTATACAAAAAAAAAAAATAATCAAATATTTCTATATTCAATAGACTGTATATCAACAAGAAAAATAAATATGTTTTTCATAACATTACATTACTTCAAGTGGACTCTCCTGAATAAAATGACTTACTTGAAAGAAACTGTAATTTATATTTTCCCTATCTCATAAATTGACATTATTAAATTATATTCTTTACAAAAGCTGCTCCTATGGCCGTATGGTGTTCATGTTCAATACATTGTTCTATTTTTCCAATTTACATGAAAAAACATCCATCTGTTTGTCCATATGCTTTAGTAAAATTAAAAGTTGATTCTTTATTTTATCATCACTACTCATAACAGCATTATGCAAAGAAAAGTGGATATTGATATTTAACTGCACAAAATAGTCAAACAAAAGTGTTTAAAACTCTTAGTTGAAGTATTGCTAGATAATGTTAATAGCAATTCCAAATTAAAAAAACAAAAAACTGATTAGAATGGCTGCATAAAAAATAATTTACAGAATACATTGAGCACTTACTATTTTAAAGAAGCAATATTCTATTAAGTTATGTTTTATATTTTACAAACATAATGGAAGAATCCACACACAGAATAAAGATATTACATAATACTTCAAATTTCAAAGATATTTCAATTTTAGTTTTTAAAAATATATATTTAGAGAAAAAGGATACTATAATACGTACAAAGGGTACAGGGTACAAATGCAGGCAGATCAAAAATCAATAATGATAACAGTACACAGAGCTGATAAACAAGCTAAAAGTATAGCTATACAACCAACAGTACATAACATAACATTGTAAATATCTTAAAACATATGTTGTGGAATGTGTAAACAGAAAAAATATATATACTGTTGACTGCTGGTGCTACAAAACATATCTGAACCTAACCCTAGAAACCACAAAAAAACTAAACATTTAGTAAAATATCAAAATAGTCCTCAGGGAGATCATTCCAAAAAAGCTTTTAAAAAATATGAAAAGTTAAACAAAGTAGATGGTGTGGCCTGGACGAGCATGGTGCAGGATGCACGGTGATCGAGCTACGCAACCCTGGCCATTTAAACCCTATATTAAAGTTCACTGGCAGGCAGAAATTGTTTGAAATAAGAAGCTATTGGTCACTGGGACAACAGCTGCAAGTTCCCTCGCCCCTACACAGGGCCGATGCATGACTTTGTAGCAACGCCAGTGGACCTGAAAGACGCGCCACCCAAAGACAAGATGGCGGCTAGCTCACTGGGTACTGAGCGCATGGCGGACTCCCAGGTGGAGGGGGAACCGTCGGGTGTGCTGGCCAAGTTTAGAGCAGAACTTACCCAGATCTTGGCAAGGATGTTCTCTAAAACTGACAGGGGCGCGCTGGTGCAGGAGCTCCAAACTGCCCTAAGAGAAGAACTCGCAGGCCTGCACGCAGACCTGACCACGCTTGAGCAGAAAGTAGCGAGATGGAGACCGCAACATAGCGCAATTGAAACGTTGGTCAATTGGCAGGGTAACATGCTGATTAACTTCCGTAGACAGATAGAGGATCTTGAAAACAGGAGCAGGCATAACAACATCCGCATCCGTGGCCTACTGGAAATGGACGCGGCCCCGCTCACTGCTACCCTCGAAGCCTTATTCAAACAAATACTGGGTGCAGACCCCCCTGAAGGTATTAGATTCAACCGTGCACACAGAGCCCTGGGACCAGCAAGACAGGATGGTAGCCTGCAAGATGTGGTGTGTTGTTGCATGCTTACGGCCTAAAAGAAAAGATCATGGCAGCAGCCAGGGAGATGCCCATTATTCAGTTCCGTGAGGCGGACATATCTCTGTATCAGGACCTCTCCGATTTTACCCTTGATACCAGAAGAGCTTTGTGCACCATCATGAGTGCATTCCGAGAGAAAAGAATCCCATATCGCTGGGGATTCCACTTTAGCCTGCAGACCAAACAAGGAAGCAACTGGGTGTCTGTCTGCTGGCCAGAAGATATCCTGAGTTTCCTGAGAGAACTACACCTCCCACTCACCAGAATCAGGAATTGTATTCTGGAGGATGCCATCATGGCGAGGAGGGACCCCCTCACACTCATACACCCGTACGGACGGCGCCCCACCCAGAAAGAACGGGGAGGCCCAAATAGCCCGGAAGAATAGGGTGTCTGTGGAGCTGTTGGACTGTCGGGAGGTTGGTGAGTTGCCTTAATAGCTAAAAGATGGGAGAGATGGTGATGTCAGAAGTGGGAATTAAGGCTTTGCTGGTTTGGGGGGGGCTCACACGGGACATCCTGGGCAGGGGGGTAACGAGAGGGATTGCCCTATATGCCCAAATTGTGGAGTTCACGTGGTGTGTAGAAGCCACAGTACGGTCCAGTCTGGGCTGCCATGGTTTCCATGGAGAGCTCATTGGGGAGGGGTACGGGATGGCAGGGATGCATCAGAACAGAAATGCAAAAAGATAAGTCCTGCGCTCACTCCCATTACTCCTGGGCGGCAGCAACGACCACAGTACATAGCCCAAATATATAGTAAAAACCAAAGAAATAAAAAGTTACCTGCACTCTCTCCTTAATCCCTATGTATATTTAGACAAATTAAGGTCATTTAGTAACCCCAATGGCCATTGGAGGGAATGCCCGTCTGCCAACGTCAAGGCAGACCCCCCTAAGCGGGTCCTACATTGACCCTTCACCTTGCTTCCTTGAGCTTCTGGCAAAGATATCTCTAATGAGACAGAGAGGGGTATTTTTTATATACACCCCTATATACTTAATAACCCTTACTAGGGAACACATGGGATGGGTGGCAGCATTGTAACAAAGCTGTGTGATACAAAAAGTGAATACAAAGACAAAAAGATAAGATTGGGGCTGATGTGTACTGTGGTCGTTGCTTCCACCCAGGAGTGATGGGAGTGAGCACAGGACTTATCTTTTTGTATTTGTATTCACTTTTTGTTAACCACTGACCTAACCCAACTGTATACTCACAAATTCGTGCCACTACTGCTCGTGCTAAAAGCGGATATGTCACGTTGGGTCAGCCTATGTGTTTTGTGGTTCGAGCAAATTAATGCTCTCAAGATGAATCTCCTCCCTCGTCTGCTCTATTTATTCCAAACAATCCCAATCTGCTTACCCAAGTCATTCTTTTGACTTATAGATTCGGCTATCCTCAGGTTCATTTGGTGGAACCAACCGCCAAGAATCAAACAAGCCTAACTACACTTACCAAAGGCGCAAGGAAGAGTCGGACTCCCTTCCATCCGAACGTATCACAGAGCCACACACCTACCACGAATAGTGGAATGGCATGTACCCAAAACACCAAAGAGATGGATACACATGGAGAGGGCTCAAATGGAAGGGGCATTTCCAGCGGTGGTTTGGTTATATAGACCTGGTAGCAGTACACGGGTTCAAGGCAACCCGCTAATAGAGGCGACCCTAAGGGGTCAGGACAAAACTAGGGCTCATGACGCCAGGTTTGCTTACCCCAGCAACATTCAACACCGAAATAGTGGGCAGCCTTACACCCAGGGATGACGCCGCATTCGGCGAGCAATACTGGACTTATATGCACCAGTGCATACTCCAGCATGATAAAACCGCTATCCGAGCTGATGCCGGACGGGTCCCCGAGGGCACTGGATAGTCTCTGCTACTTCCAGGTCACGGCTTACTACAACACCCAGCTAGGTAAACAACTCTTCCACAGATCCCTGACTTACTTCAAAGGGCTGAGCAGGGACCGGGCACATCTACCCCGAGGGGTGTCGGCTCTATACACTCTCCTCATGTTGGAAACGGCCAACTGGAGTGATGCTCTCTAAGTGTCAGGATTACTAGTTGATCCAGCACATAGAACTGTGTCACAGCTAGGACTAATAGGTAATGTCTTACCGGGCCTTAGAACGGTCAGACTTAACGTACCTTTCCCAGGTCAGGAACACAGAAAGGGACACAACGATGAGGGAAAGCCAAAAGTTAAGGATACCAGAATACAGGGAAGTCAAATGAAGCCAAAGTCAATAACCAGAAACAAACTATCAGGAACGCACTCTCGGACAACCACTAAGGGAAACCACAACAGGACAATGAGTTGAGGAATTAGATGAGCTTAAATACTCTTCATGTGGATCCGATTGGCCAAACAACTCCATTCTGGATGGCTGTCTACACAACAATCAACGACATACTGGACACAGACTTGCCATTCCAGTCACTGCCGATGCTCCTCCATCACACAACTATCTCAATCTCCAAGTACAAGAAGTCGCTCACCAGACAATTCCTTTACTCCACCAAATCACTTTTTCCAGCGAGAACCAAGTGCCCACATGCCAACAGTGGATGGGTAAAGTCAAAGAAATACATGAGCTGGCGAGGCTCACGGCATCCCTAAAGAGCAAAATGGACTGCTACCGACATAGTTGGGTCCCTTGGATTTACTTCCTATCACATTGACAGTCTTAAATCCTGAAATCTCACCTCCAAACAATACCAAACAACGAAACAGACAATGAACACTCAACGTGCCTCAGGAGTTGCAGGGTGAACGCCTGGGGGGGTGACTCGCAAAACTGGGGGGGTGGGAGCCAGCTCATGGAGCTGGGGGTTAGGGGTGGACTCGCGGTGTTGGGGGGTTGGCTTTACCCCTCCCTCTCCTGGGGGGGCTTCTGACGGTGACACGTCCAGATGGGCAAACTCAACTCAAATGCAACGCTAGCCAGGAGAAGTCACCAGCGGCATACCTGTAGAGAGACTACCACATAGGTCAGCTGCTCTTACGCAGCACACTAAAATTGGAGCACCAAAGTCCTCCTGCCCCCAGCCTTACCTGGCGCTATTCCTCCCCAATCTAGTATGGTGTATGTACGACACAGTCGGGAGCACCACATGACATGTAACCCACTGGGAGAGAGGGTTGGGGAAAGGGGGGGGGAGGTGCGTGCACTGGCACTCAACGACCCGAAAAGTACATAGCACAATGTGACAGACACTCCAACCCATGGAGCTGTATCCCCTAACGCAATAGGATTAACCATGTTCGGAGTCCCTGGCAGTAAACATGCACACAAGGGCTGGAAATGGAGCCAAGACGTGAAACTGTCCCTTGCACACTCGGGTACAGCCACAAAACATGAAAATGCTGTTACTGTGTCTTATGTTCCACAACATACCCTAAACTTGTGTCATAACCAAAGTCGATGTATAAATGTCTCGACAGCGTAATTGATACTAATTCCGAGATGTACTTAATATGTCTGATTTTTTCTATACATATTGTATTATTCCCTGCAAATAATGAAAAATGAGGATTGGCAAGAAAAAAGTAGCGAGATGGGCCATATTTCACCATTGTACTGTTTTATAGATGTGACTTTTGTATGGTTTTTGAATGTATACTGGAACGTGTCACTAATGCAAAAAGATCTTCTGTTCTTTTTTTCTGTGACATCTCTGTTTTTTGAAAATTCAAAATAAAGATTGTAAAAAAAAAAAAAAAAGTTAAAGAAAGTAGCCTACTTTTTATGTTAATCCTTGCTGGCTGGATTTTCTCGAATCCTGCACCTATAGCTTGACTTACATAAGGAAAGAGTATTCTGCATGGGCACAATGAGCAATTTATTTAGCCCAGGCTTTAAAGTCCACTATAATGGCACAGAAAATATAGGGGCCACAAAGCTACATTCTATTGTTTTTTTGTGATGCAATTTCAGAAATTCACATCTACTTCACAATGTCAAAAACCTGGGCTTTTTTCTACTTGCACGCTAGTATTTTTTTGCTATTACACATCTGAAGTACTTGCATAATTTTGTATCCATTGGAGTTGTGTCAAGGGAGCAATTGCCCCTTGCTCAAAATGCATAGGTATTATTGGATTTTTTTCGGCAGACTGCAGACTGAAATAGCAGATGTTATGGTGCAATACAGCAGGAGCAAGGCAGCGGGTCTACTAATGTATTTCCATGTGGATTGTAGAATCTTAGTACAACCAGTTTGCCAAATTATGATGACCTGTATGCTGCCCCTGGAGGTGTGTGTATATATATATATATATATATATATATATATATATATATTTAAAAACTAGAATATCCTTGCACTCAAGCTTAATGTTATTGATAGCCAAAAAACATTTTCAGCCAAATACAGTTTCTACTTGCCGGGTGCCAGTCCTCTAAGGGGAATACGATATCCACACAAATAGTAATTGAGCTGGGTGTATTGATAGAGATTTAGAGCGGAGTCACATTTAACAAGCAGAGGGGGGGTCATTAGGTGGGGTTTCTTATTATAGTTTCATAATACAGTACTGATAACAGCACTGGTCATTAGGTAAGGTACACACAGTACCTATTTCACATACACTGATACGTTAATTTTATGAATTTACATATATTTTGCACCAGTCAGTTTATTATACTTAATTTTCATCATACAACTTTTTAATCATATGTTTTATTCATATCTTGAATACATATTTAGTATATTTTTTATATACAGAAGCACTGAAGAGTTTATAGGAAATACATTAGGGTAGTGAGTTATCTTTATGGAGTCACTATTACACAGTACATACTAGTGGGGATTCATTTATCCTAGACACCTATTTTCAAGGTATTACTATGATGCCGCCCCTGTGATGTTATTATGTGTTAGAAGTATATTGAGGATTATCTCTTTCAGTACAGCATGTTTTTAATGGTGGGTTACTCGTAATACTTTTTTCTTCTATATTCACATGTTTCCTCGCATACATTATGATTATCTTAATCGGCAGGGATTTCCGCTTGTTTATACACCGACGGTCTCCTTGGTGATAGTTACGAGGTTACTATGGTAATGGTGGTTGGTACACGATCACGTGGAGTTAAGCGTCAACGTGGGGGCGTGGTGTAGCGGCACATGCGCACTCTCACGGTGAGAACGCCGGGTCGGGGATACACACCTGGGGTAAGTTTTGCACTGATATGTTGGTATGGGGTATATATGTAAGTTTTGTTGGTCAGATAATTGTCACTTTGTCCTGAGGAAGGTCCCTGTGTGGACCGAAACGTCGATTTGTTTATTTGATGAAATAAAGAAAATATTTCGAATGGGAAGACCGTGAGTGCAGCTCAATTACTATTTGTGTGTATATATGTATATATATATATATATATATATATATATATATATATATGGAAGGCGTGGCCTGAAGTTGTGGGAGGGTTTCCCTTCTTAAGGAGCACAAGCCCTTCCCTCATTACCTGTTAGGTCTGGCGAGTTGCTTGGAGAGAGATCGTCACTTCCGGTCAGACTCATGCCACTCTACTTACCTGTATCTCCGTGGTCAGCTTCCAAGGTCCTGTTTCCTCCGGGTTCGTCTGGCTCATGAGGTTGCGGGGTTTTCGTTGCGGTAAAACTGTAAGTTATACGGCCGTCGCAATTTCCGGCTCGGACGGTCTAGATCATCGAAGTACGAAGTTCACAAGCAAGGTAGTAGTTCAGTACGTAATTACGCGAATACCGGCATTCGGTTACAGGTCATATACGGTTTATAGCTATGCATAAATGCTTATTCATGTGGGGCAATTCGTGTCATATTCTGGTCATTTTAGGGCCGTTCGTTTGCCAAAACTCTTTTTTTTTCTCTCTCTTTTCTCTCAATACTAGATGTTAAATTAAAAACTATGATAGGCACTAGGGCGACCTCTGGTGGCTGGTTATCATTATAGATTCTCTCTCCTGTTCTGGTTCCATGATCCCTGGTGGTCATTAGGGTTATGACATATGGTATTAATTGCATTTTATTTTGGTATAATTACTGAATTTGTAAACATATATTATGACACACAGCTTGTACAACTATATGCTACAGAGGATTATGCTAGCTATAGTGGTGACACATTTTGCTTGTTAAAATATATATATATATAGGTCTCGAGTCAAGTCAGCAAATTATAATACTTTGGCCTACGATATATCTTAGTATTAGTATCAATACATATTAAAGACATATTAGCACAAGCAATGATTAGCCGTTTTTGACGATTATGGACCTCTTATGTTTTCAGTATTCAACAGCAATTCCACAGTGGGCTGCTACTCTACCAACTTTGTCAATTAACTTAGGTCAGTAATCACGATTAATTATACCTTATTGGTCACGCAAGACATGAGTTCATATATGTGTTTTCTGTATTACTAGGTATAGGCATCCTTGCTCTTTTTGAGTATTTGGTTCCAGTCCCTTACTGTCGGAATAATTACTGGTAGGTATCGGGATAGCAGGGCATTGAGGGGTACATATTTTTTAACCCCATACAAACTCAAATTACTCTCGTAGGTTGCTACAGATCGTCTGTATCATCTCATCATACTATCTTGCAATTTGCTTATCAGGTACGTCATGTTTTCTATATTATTTCTCCCTCCCTACCGACCCTTTTTTGGGGTAACAGTGCAGATACTGGCATACACAATAGGAGCCTTTAGGTAAGTTTTCTGGCCTTCTACGCCTTTCGTTAGTGGTCCCGCGAGGCCAACACCCATCCTCAATTCGGAGGTACGGCATCCCCTCGGGCCAATTCATAGCTAGCCGCCTCGCTTGGTTGCATAGAGAGGGCCTCACTTGTCACTCCCATTCTGTATTATGCTTTTACGAGTCACGGAGAGGCCATCACCCTGCCATAATGCCAATGGCCACGTACCCCACACGAGTCAAATTATAGATAGTGCCTCTCAAAGCCGCTTGGCAACTAGTAGGGCCTCACCGGTCACGTACTAAGTAATACTTTCGCCGCTTGGCATTAGTTACACCAGCCAGTTGGGTAGGACCCCAGGTAACATATTATTTTATGTTGTAGCATGTCACAAATACCCGAAGGCAGGGAAGATTTGTCCATCTCCAGCACACCGGCTAGATCGGTCACTCCATCCCGGGGTGACGACAACGTGAGCCCTGCATCACTCAGGGCATGGACCATTCCTCGGATCACTGCCGAACTACAAAAGAGGAATATTCCTTTCCCAGCTACTGCTAGGAAGCAGAATTATACAGACTGTTGAATACACAGACTGATAACTCAGGGGCAGGGGAAGGGTCCAGTGGCAGCCAGTCTTCTGATCTGCATACTGTTTTGTCCTCAGTCCTGACCTCTTTGGGTCGTATTACTGATAAACTCGACAAGATGGATGCAGATAGCCAGCAATCTTCTGCATTAGGGACTACGGTCACTACGGCGCGCCTGGACCCCTTACCGGGTAATATACCAACCGGTCTTAAAAACCCACATATTATTAATCCGGCACATATGGTGCCTGCAAACACTAAGAAGGACATCTTGGAAGGGAATGATATCAATCTGGTATCACTTCTTTTAGCCTTGCAAGATGTCCTTGAGAATAAAACCTATGCATATGGGGATGTGTCGGTTGTGTTAAAATCTAGGGACCCTAGGTTGAATCGAAAACTATCTATTCCCGAATTTGTGTTGGCTTTTGGGATATACAGAGATGTGATTTGCTCTGTATATCCGGATAGGAGAGAAGAATTGGACCTTTATCTCCACAAGCTGGTGGATTTGGGGCACAAGTACAGTGGTACGGCCTTTTACGACTACCACCGTGCCTTTTCCGCGAAGGCGTTGGCCGCTCTTTCTCAGTTCAATTATCAAACTGATTGGGGTGTGCTTGATACAGAGCTTTTTTGTCGGCACTTTGCGGGCCTCAAAAACCCAGCTTGTGCCATTTGCTCAAACACAAAGATAAAGCACCGCGCTTGCAGCAGCAGTGGCTTAGTATCCAACAGCTTAAAATACATAGTAAAAACAAAGAAAACGTTACCTGCGCTCTGGCCTAAATCCCCATGTGCATTTAAACAAAAATGGAGGCTCTTTAGTTTTATTCTAATGGCCATTTGAATATATAAGCTCACCAGCCACGTCAAGGCAAGCCTCAATAGGTGAGTTCCTACACTAGCCATTAGATATGCCGATATCAGCCAAGAGTCTCCAAAGAGACAGGAAGGGGTATTTTATAAACCCTTTAACATTTAACCCTTTATAGGGCTTCTGCACATACAATAAACTTTGCTGATATCAGACAAAGTGAGACAGAAAGGGGTGTTTTATAAACCCTTTAACATTTAACCCTTTATAGGGCTTCTACACATTCAATAAACTTTGCTGGTATCAGACAAAGTATAGTCGTCTCTAATGAGACATGAAAGGGTGTTTTATAAACCCCTACATACTTTACCCTAAATAGGGCTATAACATACAAATCACCTTGCTGTTTCTCTGACGGGGTAGGGGCATGGCTGAGTAAAACTGATATTGTAAACACTTTTAAGTTACTCCCTATCCACCCTTCCCTGTGGCATTTACATGGTGTTAAGTGGCAAGGTTCATATTATTTTTTTACGCGCCTCACGTTTGGTTCTAAGAGCAGCCCCAGGATTTTTGATATATTTGCTGAGACGTTGTGCTGGATGCTGCTTAACATCTGTAAATGCCCAACCGTGATCCATTACCTGGACGATTTCCTGACTATAGAAAGGAACCTGGTACCTCCTAGTAGCCTCCTGTCCATAACACGACTGTTCACACAACTAGGAGTACCTGTTTCGCCAACAAAGACTGAAGGTCCAGATACGATCATCAACTTTTTAGGGGTGGTGCTGGACTCTGTACATATGCAGGCTAGCCTCCCCGGGGAGAAGATTGATCGCATCCTGGCAGCCATCGATCTTTACCTAGCAGGTGGCTCATGTAATAGGAAAGAATTACAATCCCTGTTGGGTTCACTAAATTTCGCCATGAAAATAATTCCACAGGGGAGAGCCCATTCATATCCCGTTTGCTTAGGCTATTTCCCCTATTGCAATCTTATGCCTCCTGCATTACATTATACGTACATGCCACCGCTGACCTACATATGTGGAGGGAATTTTTGCTAAATTGGAATGGGAAAAGCATTTTTATCCTGGTATGGTCAGATAAGTCGGTGTCAGTTTGGACGGATGCCGCTGCTACTTCAGGATTTGCAGCTATTTGTGGCAATGAATGGATGTGGGGTAAGTGGCCGGGGGAAATTACTGAAATCCCCAAGTTCAAGGACACATCAGTCTTATTTGAGCTCTATCCCATTGTGGCAGCAGCAGTTAAGTGGGGAGCTGGCTGGTCTGGGAATACGGTGCGTTGCTTCTCCGACAACATGGCAACGTGCCATATTGTAAACAAGGGATGTTCCTCTTCCCTGGCCATCATGCAGTTTATGAGGACTCTCACTTGGCTAGCTGCAAAACACAGTTTTCTTTTAACTTGTATTCATGTGCCTGGGGTTCTCAATATCGCTACTGATCACTTATCACGGTCTCGGTTTCAGGGGTTCCGGGCAGCACTACCAACAGATACCCTGACACCGACTCCAGCACCTCAGTGGCAGGAAATGGTTTGGGACTAAAAGAACTGCTCTATCACGGGCAACAACTTTCGTAACTCGGTCTTTCCGATAACACCAGGAAAACATATGGCAGAGCATATCTTTTTTTCAATAAATTCTTGCTGGACTTTAATGTCACTGACCAATTTTCCATTGAGACTATCATCTCATTCATTTTTTTTGCCACCTTCATCTGACACTATCATACAATACCATTAAGTTGTTTATCACAGGTATTCAACATCACATCCTCACAACTTGGCCTAATAGACAACGATTTCTGTCATCCTACCAAGTTAAAGCCATACTTAAAGGTATTAAAGACTCCACCCCTATACCCTCACCGTCCAGACTACCCATTCACAATCTTTTGTTTCAGTCACTATCCAATCTGCTAGACACCACACCATTCGAAGCTCATACAAACTGTATAATTAAAACAGCCATCTATTTGGCTTTTTACGGTTTTCTTCGGCCCAAAGAGTTCACCACTACTAACTATAACTCCCCCAACTTCATCACAAGGTCAAACCTGGTGAAGGTACAAGATCACTACCTGCTATCCCTACACCATACCAAAACTACTGCCAAAGGACAGACGGTCACTATCACCTATTACCCCACTAATAATAATTGGTGTCCGGTGGAAGTTTTCGACAAATATCTTTCCTCTTGTACAATAGCTCCAACACAACCACTCCTTACATTACACAGTAATAAGCTTACTACGAGTAAATTCATGGTGTATGTTAGGATGTTGTTGGTCCGTTTAGGATTAAACCCAGCAAATTACTCTGGTCACTCATTTAGAATAGGAGCCACCACTACAGCTTCTAAGAAGAATATCCCGGCTCACATAATTAAAATTGTAGGCCGGTGGAAATCCACGGCTTACACAAGATACATCCCTCAGCCAATACAAGAGGTGCGCCTAGCATTCAAGACAATGAATATGTGATACGCTATGATGTATTTGTAGGATGAATAAACTGGTTTATATCTTTTTTGCCCTCTTTTATTTCAGGCCTTCTACCTCGTCAGTTCCGGCACACCACAACTGACATTACTATTCCCTGTTTGTCTTATGTTACTAATGCTATGGCTTTATGCCGTGACCACAAATGGAAGGCGTGGCCTGAAGTTGTGGGAGGGGCTTGGTTCTCCTTCTTAAGGAGCACCAGCCCTTCCCTCATTACCTGTTAGGTCTGGCGAGTTGCCCCACCCACCACACCTCCTTTTATAAGCACTTCATAAGGTAGGCCCTCTTTTATTTCAGGCCTACTACCTTGTCAGTTCCGGCACACCACAACTGACATTTCCATTCCCTGTTTGTCTTATGTTACTAATGTTACGGCTTTATGCCGTGACCACAAATATATATATATATATATATATAAAATTATTTATATAATTCTATGTGTATACATGTATTATTTTTATATAACTATGTGATTTTATTAATTATATATTGGGGGCATGCCTGAGAACCTAGGCAGTAAGTCGAGAGAATTTAATTGTCAAATAGTATATTTGACCCTGTAACTCTCCAAAATTCCATAAATCTGTAGCTGGAGGGGTACAGTTGTGAGACACTTTGCTGAACACAAATATGAGTATTTTAGAGCAGTAAAATGTACAGTGTTGATGATATCATCAGTGAAAGTGCAGTTTTTGTGTGAAAAATGCAAAAATAAAATATGAGCACTAGCTTTGGCCAATGTTTGTGACTAAGCGGTTACTAAAAAAGACTGGACATATCCCATTTTGAATACTAATAAGTTACGATTATACAAAATAGCAAATTGTTTTAGTTGTTTAATTATAGATGTAAATAGCAAGGGTCCTTAGCAGTTTGCAGCTATAAAACTATCAAACCACTTACAAAAAATACACATGGTGGGGTCTGTGAGAGCCCAGCATTCAACCCCTTCAGGACGGAGTCAATAGTGCACGTTCTGATCAAAACAAAACGTAAACAAAAACTGGAATTTCCGCTATATGTCTGTTCAACCGTAATTCACTGCTGTCACATTAAGTGCACCCACACTTATTATATATCATTTTGTTCAGGAGAAACAGGGCTTTAATTTCATATCAAATATTTAGATATGAAACATAATTTATTATGAATAAAATTCAAAAACTGTGAGACATTTTAATTTTTTTTAAAAATGTATAGTTCTGCCTCACATTTTAGCTGTAAATGTCATAATACTGTTAGGTTTTACTACAAAAAAATGCACATATTTGTAATCAGCGATGTCTCACAAGTACAACAGTACCCCCCCATTAACAGGTTTTATGGTGTTTTGGAAAGTTACAGGGTCAAATATAGAACGCTCAAAAAATGAATATTTGGTCAGTGTTTGTGACTAAGTGGCTACTAAGAAAGATTGGACATACCCCACTTGCAACTCGGGTT